TTCAATGTTTCTCCTCAGATTTTGATGTGGATGGTGTCATTTTAAAAACTTGCATGACTCAGACAGAAAATAAAGAAGAGAAGGGAGGATGAAGTCCTGCCCCTGTCCAGTAAGGTCTCTTTTATATAAAAATACCCATATGAACCAGTGGTGTGTATAAATACATATATATATACCAGTGATAGAGTGACCTGGAAAAAACCTCACAAGGTGGTGATCTGGTGACCTTGGACATACGTCACAAATGGTTGCTTTTTTGCCCTAGGAAAAAATCACGTTTCCTTTCTTACAGAAAAATTAAAATTCTGCAAGTTCCTGGTTGAAATGTAACCTAGAGGTAAATCAGTAACCTTGCACTGAATATTGCTCCTTTGTGTGTGCAGGAAAGTGATATGAATAATGGAGAAGAATTAATCTGCTTATCCTGGCAGGGGCAGTGACCTTATTTTGTTTAAATCTCAAATTTCTGTGTTGAGTTTCTGTTTGTTAAATAAGTATTAAAGCAGAGTAATCTAGGGCCACAATTCAAGAAAGCACTGAAGCATGTGCTCAAGTGCTGTCCCAAATAGGGATGGTTTTCTGAATTAGGGCTTAGTTCTTCGTCTCTTCCTTTAGGCTCTCATATTGCGGTGTCAATTTCAGAATGCTGCCTGACAGATGTTACTGGATCATACTTTACACATTCTAGGGAAAGTTCTTTGGATAGCTCCTGGAGGTACCTAGCATTGTACTAGCCCCAGATTTCTATGAATTTAAAAAATACTTTCTCTGGTGTCAGAGGGTATGATGAGGATTTGTGCCTTATGTTGTGATAATGTGTAAGATCCAATAGTTATTTATTTTTGAGCTATAAACCATATGAAGGGCTAAGGGAAAGAGGGTGGTATTATTATACCATTTGCAAATGATGGTCAGGGGAGATTGCTAGTAATACCCAAACAAGCAAAAGGACAGTTGGAAACAATACTTTGAGAGGCTCTTAAATAGACAAACCCCTTTTAGGGCAGAGTTGCCACCATATAATCTTAATGTGGTGCCTGTGCCTGAGCCTGACCTAACAGAGGAGGAGGTGAGAAGTATAGTCCAGGAAATGAAGGCAGAGGGACCTGATGAACTGACAGCAGACCTAGTGAAAGTCTTGCATGAGAGAGGCACAAAATGGATGAGCAGACTGAACAAACCGAGACAAGAGAATTCCCGAAGGCTGGTACAATCTATCCTGGTCCCAATACATAAGACGGGAAGCATCCATGAACGTGTTAACTTATTGAGCTATTAGCACATGAGAGGAAGATTGGAGGTTTACTCCAGCGGAAGGCAGAATGCACCCTCTTCGCCCCAGAGTTCAGCCACACATACATAGTGTCATTAATAAAGAGGTGCAGCCTGCAGAAGGACTGCAGTGCTCTGCCTCTGAACCTGCCATGCCCCCCCGGGATGCAGCGTATGACAGACCCTGAACGAGGGTGCAGTGACTGCATGTCGGAGGTAGATAACTTTCAACCACAAAAGTAACAGGGACACCAGCTCTGTGTGGCCACAAGGACTTCTAGGATTAAAATGAGGGGTTTTGTCTCAATCTAAGTTGCAAAGGGGAGGCAGAGTCCAGGCTGCCAGCATCAGGTGGCACATGAACTGATGGGCTGTGCCATCCCAGTGGGCTGGGGTGCAGCGGTGCATGCTGGGAGCCGGCAGGTCCCAGGGCTGGGGTGCTGCGGTGCATGCTGGGAGCCGGCAGGTCCCGGGGCTGGGGTGCAGCGG